GCAGGCAGCGAGCAGTTAGGAGCCAGTGCTCCTGGATTGTGAGAGGGATATCCAACTGCTGGTTTAGGCCTGATCCTCAGGACATCCCCCGAGGGGTCCCAGATTGGAGAGGGTACAGGCTGGGCTGAGGGAACCCCCTCCCCTCCATGCATGAATTTCATGCACTGGGCCTCTAGTTAAGTTATAATTTACATTCCTTTCAGAAGGCATTCTATTCCATGGAGTATAGTACATTTAATTCATCGTTAACACCCCTAGGTTAATGATTAACTATAATTTAATCATTTTATTATCATCTAGCATATAATGGATGGGTGAATAAATAACTCATTACAGAGTATGCCTCACAATATTTTTAAGACTTATTTAATATAAACTTTAATTTGTATAGTGATTTTATTTATATTTTTCTCATATATCATCCCATTTTAACATTAACTCATGATAGATAGTAGAGCTAAGATAATGCTAAGTGCCCTATTATTTTTAATATTAGAAGTTAAAATACAGTTTAACAAAAGAATTTTTGACACCTTTGGTACGATAACAGATTGAGAGATTTCGTTAGAGATGCAGATGTTGGCTCTGGAGCATTTAGGAAAACACTATCGAATATTTGCATCGGGGCCTTTTGAGAGACCTGGGAGGTATGCTTACGTCATAGAGTAAGTTCCTTCCTATGCGTGTCCTGTCCTCCACTCTGAGTCAGTGATGCAGTCCACACTTTTTGTCATGCTCTTGTATAGTTTAAGAATGAAAATAGTCATTAAAATAATACTTCTGTACAGGAAACTGCATATCAGTTAAGTTATTAAAACTTTCTGGCAGCTGGAAGTCAGATGCAAATAGTCATTTTCCTTCCTGCCTCGAGAAGATTGTATTTACAACTAGATAGCCTCTCTACTAGTGAGAGGGAAGAGATGGAATATGCTTCTCATTCCCTTCTTGTTGTATACTTATCTATTATGATTCATGATTATTTTTCTTTCTGTTTTCTCCATAGATATAATCAAGAACTAAAAGCTAGCGCAAACAAATAAAAGAGTTCCTGATCATCCCAACAACCTAGATGTAGCCATACCACTGGGACCTAGTTTGATTTATTATTTGTTATTGGTAAGGTGATGCTCTCTATGCTAATAATTGGAACGCATTTTAAAAATCTAACTTAAATAGGAGCTAGTGCTCAATTCAGCAGAAAAATAAAGCAAATTTTTAATAACAGTGACTCTACATATGACTTATCTATAGGTATTAGTAACATTTTTTCCTACTCTTTTCCCGTAATAAATCATACTTGCTCATTCATACCTCTAGTCTCTTCCTGTTCTAGTTCACCAAAGTATGTGTGTTTAAGAGTGCACATGTTCAAGCAAGTTGAAAGATAGTTGAAAGGTCAAGTAATCTATTTTCAGTGAAGGATGGTGAATTAGCTAAAAGTGGAAGTAAATAGAGTTAAAGAGGTTGAGAAATGGGTAGAATGGCTAGCAAAATGATTTAAAACTATTTTAAGATATTTTAAGTTGAAAAATCTTGAAAAATTATATTTTGTGTATTGTGTGAAATTATTTTAGAGCTACAAGAGTAATGAAGGATTTCTAAATGTTAGGCTTTCTGTAAATGTCTGGGACCTTCATCCCCATTATTAGGAAAGACTGGGTATAGATTGCTGCATACTAGAAATAATTAACAGTCTTTTGGATCTGAGCTCCAATTTGGCGTATGGAGCTTTTTTCTAAAAAAAAAAAAAAAGCTAGTCCTAGTTAGAACTGCCATTAGTAGAATCAGCAAGCAAATTATTTCTAAATATGAAGATGCAAATAGAAAAAGAACTTGAATAATAATATACTATAACAATCAAAATTTGGCAATTAGCCATTGAAGACCCTGCACTTTTTCATATATCCCTTCACTGTGGTCCATCTTTGAGAAGGAATTTGACATTGGCACTGTTTCCTTTTTATAAGCTACACTGTTAAATTTGTTTGGCATGTGTGTGTTTCCTAGAGTTAAGCATTTAGGGAAAACATCTATTATGAAATATGGCATAGATGCACAAAAATAATTAAAATATATTTTGAAATGGTGTTTCAGTTTTTCTTTTTTTATTCCGGCTTTTATATGGGCTTTTATATGGGTTCCCACTGGTCAGTCAAATTACTTGTAGCATTTAGATGCAGTCATAGGCCATCCTCTTGGTTCGCAGAAGTTCCACTGATAGACAAATCATCTCATATTTCCTTTCTTCCCCAAACTCTCGTACATCTATTATTGATAAGGATCAAATTAGATGACTAATTCGTGTCCAATCAAAACCTCGCACTGCCACTTGGAACACAGTGGTCAGTTTCACAGCTATGTTAAAAAACTTAGGAAGAAGACTTGATAGACTAGAAGTTCTTACTACCAAAGCAGGTAGTGTACGCTGTAAAAATACCTTTCATAATGGTACAGAGCACTTGATCAGACCAGTTGAGTTGAATTCTGTATCAGAATGCTCTACTGAGCCCTTGCTGTTACTTTATGAGATGTTTTTCTCATTGTGAGTCTGACAGGCCTGGGTTTCAGCCAGGTCTTCCCCACTTAAACAGACTTTGGTCTGAGCTTTAGTCTCATCAAGAATCAAATGGGGATAATAGTACTTACTGTATAGGATTGTTGTCTAGATGAATCAAGATAAAGTTTTAACCCAGTGCCTGGGTCATGATGGGTGTTAAATAGAAAGTTTCAGAAAATAGTAGGTTTATTGATTGAAGATCCTTGAAAAGTACTTCGTTACACAAAGGAATTTTTAATGTAGCTGCAAAATATATATACCGTGTGAACTTATTTGTACACCTTCTGAGGTAATAACTGTTGGAACTCTTGAAACTTGCACGGGTTCAAACAGAAAACAAGTCTTTGGGACGGGGGACAGAGGCAGGTGGAGAAGGCTCATTAGGAGGTAGATTCTTTCCCTCGTCTTTGTGTTAGGCATTGCTCTCAAGGAAACATTATTCCTAAGTACGTCTGCTGTTTCTCCATGGCAAACAGATTTTTTTTCTGTTGCTAAAATGATGGTGAAAAGTTGAATCTTAACAGGACTGACCTCAAAGCCCAGGTTCCTCTCTGTAAAGCAAAACTGTCGCTATAGGAGTTCGCTTATACAATGACAGAAGTGGAAAGCACTGGTACTTACTCAGGCTGGCTTCGCCCCACAGGGTCTGTTCAATTATAGGAGAAGTGAGTCCAGTTATGTTAAGACTGTTTTCCACCAGAAAATTCATTTGAGAAATAATTAAATGAGCCCATGTTTCCTTCCCTTACATCAACTGTGTTTTACAACATTTTGAAATACAGTAAATTTAAATACAAGGTTGGGCTTTATTTAAGAATGTATGCTTCTTTTCCAGTTCAGTGTTTCTAAATTCCAGTTTTACATGTGTCAGTAAGTGTAATTGTAGTTGTGCTATACATATGAACTGTTAGAAAGTCAAACCATAATTTTAGCTGTTAGGAAATATGTCTTAAGCATTTCGCCAGTGTCACATTGGGTTAAGAAACTCCATTCCAGTGCCACATGAGACTGCAGATTCTCTTAGGGGGTGAATTGGTTAAAAGTATCCACATGACCAGTCAGAAAGGATAAGTCAGAAATTTAGCACACAAAAGCCCCTGGAAATAAGTACTGAATGCACTGTAACTGGTAAGTTCCATTGGCCTGGTAAAAGCCATGATCATTATTGACCAAAACGTCACGTTTGCTTACTCAGGAGAGACTCGCCTTTATGATGGTCACCTACCAACTGTTGCCTCATTTCACTGACCTTTAACCCACATGTCTAGACCTGAGAACCTGAGAGCCAGGCCAGGTCTGAGCACTAGCCCCCTGGGCTGTCGGGGGAGGGGGAGGCAGGGCAGTGCCAGCCAATCAGAAGCATAGGCGGTGCCCATGAAACAATGAGCTTCTGATGAGGGTGTGGCCAGGAAAACGGCTTTTAGACAAAACTGTCATTTTACTGGTCAGCTATCGACAGACATGGCACTTCCGCAGTCTTCAGAATAATGCCACCCAGCCCCTTTCCTGGCTTCTACTCTCCTGAAAGATCTAGTCCCTAATCTAGGCTCCGGCTTTCCTCAGCCTCGGAGAAGGAGGAGGTATGTAGATGTGGGAGTCTCGCAGGAAGACTGGCTGAGGGAGACCCTCTGGGAAGATGACAGGTGTTGGAGCTGAAAGTGGGAAGGCCTTGGGCTAGGAGTCAAGGTTCCATTTCTGTCTGTCTGTCTTGCGTGAGATTAGAAGCTTGAGGGCATACGTGTTGCCTGTGCTGTTTATTCTGGATGTGCCATTGTTCTGACTTGTTTTCACCTACTTTTCATGTGATATCCCCCTCATCAGTCATCAAATGGCAAACACCTACCCTGTGAAGGGCGCTAGAAAGATGCTGTGGAGGAAACACAGGTGTAGAACCCAATCTGTATAAGAGAAGTTTACAACACAGAGGAAGATAGATGAATAGACAATTAAGGATATTTAAATAGAAAATAAGGTGCATGAATTTATAGCTAAGTGCCCAAGACCTCAGAGGAAAAGCTGTGTTGGCTGGTCTGGCGAGGTTTCCTGAACAGTAAGATGATTCCTTAAGGTCAACTCCTTTTTTGGACTCGTAAAACTTTATTTTACATATTAATGTAAAATTGGATGAAACTGAAATCTGTTAGAAATTTCTAGAAGAGTTATTTACAGAAACAATAATGGATATAATTGATCTTCTTTCAGGATCCTCATTCTTAGGTGCATCTATGTTTTCTCATATCCCATTCTGTTCACGCTCTGTCCTTGACTGTGAATGAGTTGGCCAAATGATTGATGAGGGTACCATCAACATGCTCTAAAATTAAATATGTATTGTCTCTGGATCATAAAGATCCCCAAAGTGTCGTAAAACACAAATGGGATGTAGCATGGTACAGTAGAAAGCACATAGACTTCCAAATCTGAAGACCTAGCTTTCCAACTGTGTGATCTAATGGTTCTGAGCTTCAGGGTCTGTGTCTATGGGATGGAGAGATAGCCATTCAGCCAGAGTAGGCTGCCTCAGTGCTGTTTTGAGGATTAAATAAGACAAACTATGTAAAATGCTTCACACAAAAAGGTCTTAATAAATTACAATTACCACATGGAATGTGCCACATCACTATTTTCTGATGTAGACTTTAAAGCAGAAGAGTATTTTCTAAAATAGAAAACTTCTATTATCTTATGCGTGTTCTTAGGAAAAACTCTCAGGTACTCAGTTTAGAGGTCTTTGCCTCTTCTGCCCATCTTATCTAATAAAAAAATAATATGCAAATTGACCATACCTCTGCTATCGCCACAAACCACACCCACCAGCCAGTCAGAGTGAGCATGCAAATAAACCCAACCAAGATGGTTGCAGCCACAGAGAGCAAGAAGGAGGCTTGGGTTTACCAGGCAACGGAGGAAACCAAGCTTTCCACCTGCCCTAGCCGGCCTAGGCCTCCACTTAAGGCAGGCGTCTTCAAACTACGGCCCGCGGGCCACATGCGGCCCGCAGCGGAGTCTGATCCGGCCCGCCAGGTTTTTTGGGCAGTGAGCGCAGCTGAGGTGTTACAGTAGGAATTAGTAGTTCATATAGTCCGGCCCTCCAGCTCTCTGAGGGACTGTGATCTGGCCCCCACTTTAAAAAGTTTGAGGACGCCTGACTTAAGGCTACAAAGTCAATTATAGAAGGTAAACAAATCCAAACAGAAATGGCGGCAGCCACGGAGCAAGCAGAAGGCTTGGCTCCACTTCAGGCTACAAAGTTTCAATTGTATAAGATAAATAAATCCCAGATACCAGGTCCTCCGCTTGGATCACCAGAGGGCATGGCTGGCCTGCAAACCACCACAGGCCCCTTGCTCAAGCTGCCGCACGCCCCAAGGGAACCCCCACCCTGATCCAGGACACCCTTCAGGGCAAACCAGCTGGCCCCCACCCATGTACCAGGCCTCTATTCTATCTAATAAAAGAGTAATATGCAGATTAACCATCACTCCAACACACAAGATGGCTGCCCCCATGTAGTCAAAGGTCCTGCCCCATGTGGACACAAGATGGCCGCCACAAGATGGCCAGCAGGGGAGGGCAGTTGGGAGGCACCAGGCCTGCAAGGGAGGGCAGTTGGGGGTGATCAACCCTGCAGGGGAGGGCAGTTAGGGGTGACCAAGTCGGCAGAGGAGGAAAGTTGGAGGCAAACAGGCTGGCAGGGGAGCAGTTAGACATCAATCAGACTGGCATGGGAGTGGTTAGGGTTAATCAGGCTGTCAGGCAGAAGCAGTTAGGGGCAATCAGGAAAGCAGGTAGGCGAGCAGTTGGGAGCCAGCAGTCCTGGATTGTGAGAGGGATTTTTGACTGCCCATTTAGGCCCGATGTCAGACATCCCTCGAGGGGCCTAGATTGGAGAGGGTGCAGGCTGGGCTGAGGGACACCCTTCCTCCTCCCAATCCCCCTAACCCCCCTGTGCACGAATCTCATGCACCAGGCCTTTAGTAACAAATAATTTTGGTATTCTAGTTTCCCTTCTTCATTTGTCTTCATAATCTCCAAATGCATCTACTTTTCTTGCCTAGTAATCACAAACTCAGAAAAAGCTGTCCAGGTTCTCAGCTCACCCTTTAAACCCATGGAATCTTAGCAATCATTTAATTCACCTTTCCACAAACCACCTCTGCAGCCTTACAGTCAGGCAGATAGGCAGCCTCCCACCAGGAAACCCAATACTTCCTAAGACTTCCCAGTTCAAAGTTTGCCTCCCAGTGACTGATAGCCATCAATCCTAGTCAATCATTCTAGAGAAAAATCGAACCCACTCTCCACACGGTGTTAAAACTAAAGCAAAGACAGTCCATACTGTGCATGTGAGGAGGGTGTGGTATTGCCGAGACTGAAGGGGCTGCTAGTAGGATTGGTAAATAAAATGCAATACTTGAGAGGGTATATTTATACTAAATTATTATTTATTTAAAGTTCAAGTTTAATTAGATGTCATATGTTTTTATTTGCTAACTCTGGGAGTCTTGCAAGTGGTAGGCAAAGAGAAGAAGCTGAGGTAGTGAGCAGGGCAGGAGAGGAAGAATGGGACTCTGCCCGGCTCAGTTCTGCTCAGTCCTGTCTCAGTGCGGTGGCCCCTCAGCATCTCTGTGGAAACTTCTTCAGAGGATCATTTCCTACAGAAACTACTGTTTAAGGTCATGAGTTTGATAAGTTAGCTGCCCCTACCAAGGAAAAAAACAAACAAACCCAACTTTCCTTTCCCTCTTCAGCCCTCCCTTGAACCTTACTGTGGCTTAGCCAATGCAATCCCTACCGGAAGGAGAAAGTAGGGGAGTTCTCTTGTTGAATGTGGGGGCCCACATTAGACTCTGCACAGGGAACTTTGTCTCCTAACTTTCACATTTTAGTTCAAATATGTGAGGACAACTCCTGTTTTCACCTAAATGTCATCATGTCCTGAAAACATCCCCAGACTCTCCCATCATTCTTTATATTTGATAGTCAATGAACTTCAAATAAAAGGAGCAGAACTAACAGTGCTCTGGATCAGATTTGAACACTGCTTATGTGCCTTAATATTGCAGCAAAATGGCCAGTAAACATATGAAACAGTGCTTAACTTCATTAGTGCAACCAGGGAAACAAAACCTCAGAGACCTATCAAGATGGCTAAGATGGAAAGAGACTGACATTAGCAAGCGCTAGTTGGATATAGGGCTCTGAATTCCTATCTTGGTATAAATTGGTACAACCACTTGAGGAAACTGGCAGGCTCTCCTGCAGTTCAATATCCTTTGCCCCAACAATTCCACTCAGGTATATGCCCAAGTGAAATGCATACATATGTTCACCAAAACACACGTATAAGAAAGTTCTCTTTTTTTCTGAAAGCTTAATGTACTTAAAATAAAAAATACTTGAACTTATGATTATGGTGTTATTTCCTCAATTATCTCTTTCAATAAAGCAATTCTTCACACACACACCCCCACCCGAAACTGAAAACCAGCACAGTGCTCTTTGTTTTGTCAGCTTTTTCTTATATGTTACTGTGTGCTTGTCACTTAGTCCTCACCAATCTGTGAGGTGGTTGTCATCTTCCCTTTACCGATGAGGAAACTGAGTCTCAGAGGAGTTCTTCACAGTCACATACAGTATATGTAGAGCTGGGGCTCAGCAGCCTCAAATCCTGTCTCTCCCCCCCCCCCCCCCCCCCCACTTAGCTCTACGGTTCTTCATTTCATTTGGGCAGAGAGCCATTTGTCTATCAGTTTCGTCCTCTTCTCATCCATCCAGTGGAAGGCACATCTGTGTAGGTGTTCACATTCATACACACAGTGCGTGTTCTTCAGGTATATCATCATGAATTTCCTTAGCGCCCCTCCGAGCTCTCTGCAGGACAGCCAGTTGGGAAATGTGATGGACAGTGGTAAAGGGGAACCAGCTCGTTGGAGTGTTAAGGACGCGTAAACTGTCAAACCAACGTGATTTCTTAGTTTTTCATACAAAGCATTTCATTTTTTACTTACATGTTGAAGTGTCCAATTCTTTGGGGATTTTTGTCTTATTTTTGTGGTGATACTGTGTTTCCCCGAAAATAAAACATCCTCCAAAATAAAACATTCATCCTTCTGAGTGATATATAAGGCACCCTCCCCCGCTGAAAATAAGCCCCCCCCCCCCCCAGGCTCTGTCTCAGAATGAAAATTAATTTACCATAAACTGGTCGCTAGGGCCGCCCCGACTGGCGTCTAGCAACCAGTAATGTTATGCGGAGTCCTGATGTCACTGCTGTGTGGAGGCGGAGCGGAGGTCAAAGTGAGCAGTGAGCCCGGGGGTGGGAGAGAGGAGGAGACTTTCGCAGATGCGTGTAGAAGAACAGGAGGATTAGAGCGGACGGGACACGGCGAAGGTGGTGAGTGCTGGTCTGTCTCTGGTGACACTACCTGATGCTCGCGACCGCCCTCATGATGACTGAAGGTTCTCAGTCAGGGGCAGACCCTGCTCCAGCCCAGATCCAGGCCCCAGCAAGCCCAGTGACAGTCCCCAGGCAGGCCCCAGGGGGTAAATGTCTGATAAAGGGGTCGGGGGGATGTCTGGTGAAGGTGGTCAGGGGTTGGGGGAGAGGGATCACTTAAAATGGCACAGGAGGATCAGAGGGGGCAATCAAAATGACACAGGAGGATCAAAAGGGGTTACTAAAATGGTAATCCCCCCCTCTGATTCTCCTGTGCCATTTTGATTTCCCCCTCTGATCCCCATCTGTCATTTTAAGTAATCCCCCTCCCCCCACCTTAATACCCCAATTCCTTTTTTTTAACCCCTAGAAATGAGCACAAAAAGAAAAAGCTACTCCGTGGGGTACAAGAAAGGAATCGTGGAAGACTCTTGGGGCCAAAATCTTACTGCTTTCTGCAAAGAGAAGATGTTGAGTATCCGATTGGTCTGAAAATTGCGAGCAGAGTATGGTAACCTCATTGAACAAGTGGACAAGGGAAATGCTAAAAAGCGCAAGTGTGGATCAGGCCGGCAACCATCATTTTCCAAGCTGGAAGACCTGATCTGTGAAAGGGTTGTTGACAGGAGAGCAAAGGCTTTGGTTGTGAATAGGGCTCAGATTCAAGAATTTGCCCTTGCAATGGCACCACAGTTTGACATAGCTCCCAAGACTTCAAAGCATCACAACACTGGCTGGATAATATCCTTCAGTGAAGTGAACTGTCTTTAAGAAGATCTACTGGTACAACATTGTTTAGGTTGGAAGATACTCAAGTTATTAAGCGAACACTTGCATTGATGATGCTGACTTCTCTAAATACAATCTTTCCAACATGATTGCTATGAATGAAACTGCAGTGTTTATGAGCCAATCATCTCAAACAATTGAACAGCGGGGTGCCTCCTTAGTGTACATTCCCTCCACTGCTTACAAAAGTGCACGTGTTTCCTGTATTTTGGCAATTCGTCAATGGCATTAAAATCCCACTTTTAATCATTTCTAAGGGCAAGAAGGAAAAGATTGAACGTGTTTTGGGCATTTTTATTCTTGAAACTGAAAAAGCCTGGGCCACACAAGCAGTTATAAGGAAGTGTTTAATGCTGCCGCTTGTTATACGAGGGAGCCAAAGAGGTCTGCTAGCCTGGGATGCAGCCAGCACTCACCTCGCGAAAGACATGAAGACATTTCTTCATGGAAGAAAAATAGATCAGATAATGATTCCCGCAGGAATGACGGCCTATCTCCAGACTCTTGATATTGCTATTAACAAGCCATTCAAAGAAAATTTGCGCATGGAAATTAATGACTACATTGAAAATAGAATGGAGAGAAATCAGCGTGGAAACTTTGTGAAACCTAAACTGCAAGAAGTTGTGACTTGGGTGAAGAATTCATGGGAGAAAATCACTGACAGTTGCATTTGCAAATGCACTGCAAGCAGGCTACCTTGACAAGAAGTACTCATTTAAAGACAGTGCTATTGCTAAACATGAGAGATTTGGTCCACTGATTCTGAAAGAAATGGAGTCACAAGAAATTCACCAGGAAATTCAGGAATTGGATTGTTATGATGATGTTCCAGAAGATGATGACATGATTGTCATTGAATAAATGAGTAAACTCTTGATACTGTAGAATTCACAGTTTGTCTGGTTTGTGTTGACAACTACCATACTACCGTACCATATACAGGTAATAAATTTCCTTTATTTTCATTTAACAAAAAATGTGTACTGTATTCTTCTTCATGGAAAAATAAGACATCCCCTGAAAATAAGACCTAGCGCATCTTTGGGAGCAAAAATTAATATAAGACACTGTCTTATTTTCGAGGAAACAGGGTATTACCAAAAATATTGAGTTTACTTGATTTCCTGACTAATATTAAACAATTAGATGATTCCCTGCCTGGTGTAGAAAAATAGATATTTTATTCAACCTCCCAGTCAGCTGCCCATCACTCTTGAACATCTCTTCTCTGCATCAGCTCTTCAGAGTGTCAAGATGGACTGCTGACAAGCCAACTGATAATATGTTCCATTCCTCAGAGATTCGTCAGAAATACATTCTAGGAACGGGACATGGACTTTTTGCCTTCCTCACCATTTTGACATTTGTTCTCTATTTCAGTACTTGCTACTATTCCAATATCACAAAAGTTCTGCCTAGCAACTCTGTTCTCTTAGGGTGTCTGTCCTCCTAGGGTTTCTGGTTGGGCCTCAGATGAGTCTCGAGTCCTGGGCACATGTTCCACACCCTGAAGAGACCAGATGTCTCCAAAGGCGACTTAGCCACCAACCACTCCTGGAACTTGATAACGTCTCCAGAATGTTCTTAATGGCATTAATCCTGATACCCCAAAACTAGAAACAATTCGTGGGTCAGTAGTGGAATAGATAAATACTTTGTTATAATGCAGTGGAGGAATACTATTCAGCACTGAAAATGAATAAGCATTGATGAATGCACAACAACATTGATGATGAGTATCACAAACTCTAGAGAGAAAAACACAAAGGATTATATACAATATAATCCTATTTACATAACATTTAAGAATGTATAAAGTAATCTATAGTGTTAGAAATCAGGAGAGAAGTTACCTTTGGGAACAAGTGAGGTGGTGACAGGAG